CACAGTCTCATTAACCCGATCACTAAAGTAATGTAATCCATCACCACTGTCTGTTCGGCTCAACGTGTGCAGCCAGCAGGAGTCACATGCACTACGAGACTAATCTATGCTGCGGGGAACAAACCTTCACTGTAATGTCCCAGCCACAGAGACGAAAAAAGAACAATGAAGTACATTCAATAAAAACTTATTCGCTGTGAGTGACAGGGAGGATATAAAAAACTGAATCATAACTGGAGACTGAAGTCCCACTTTGAACTCTTTGATACAATTTCTGAAAGCCGATGTCTTTGAAAAATTTAGCTTCTGAATGACACATCTCTAAAGTTACAAATGAAACAATCTAGTTTTAAAAATGCATGATTTGATTTTATTAAATAAAAATAAACTTTTTAAAAAAACTTGGGTACTAGAAGATGCCTGAATTACTTGCACCATATTGAGAAAGAAAAGTTTGGAGATCGCTTACTTGCAAAGAGAGAATTAAGATATATGAACATTAATGACCCTTAATAGGCTGGGTCTCTGCACAGTCATCGCTACCTGCTTATTTTTAAATAGCTGTCTTCATTGCTCCATTTTAAGCCCCCAGGGTTTAATTTCTGGTATTTGTTTGACTCTATGGGCTTTATTCTACAGCCTGGAGGAAAACTGCAGAGCTCTGAGTTTGTTCTTTTAAAATCTCCCTAATATATGTATATATATATATATATATATATATATATATATATATATATATATATATATATATATATATATATATATATATATATATATATATATATATATATATATATATATATATATATATATATATATATATATATTATATGTACAACCTTTTGGCTGAGGCAGTTGGTGGCTCCACCAACATATATGATTGACTCAGCATTCTACCAATCCTTGTCTGAAGTTTTCTGAGAAAATTGGTTATACTGCCACCACATAGTCTGACTAATGTCTTTCTACGCAACTCTACTTTTGAGTCTCATCTCCCGTCAGAGCGATATCTGGGATTTCTTCCATTGAGCTTAATTTCTCCAGCTAAATCAGTGAACAAAAGGAGAAGCGCTGAACGATGAAGTTGATTTTCTGCACTGCTTTAAACCTTCAGTCTGCCTGTAGTTCAGCGGCAGCAGCGGAGAAGGTAAACAAAGACTTTCAGTCCACGTTGGTCATGCCTCCAAATATTCAGCAACTAAAGTCAAAGCCAGAGGAACATTTAAGACATTTTATTTTGGAAAAGATGTTGTGAAGTTGGTTTTGGTAAGCTCAGATCCAGTGGTTTGACACTTGATTTACTTTTAGAGCAAATTGATTAGAATCTTAAATGTGATGTGGATTTACTAAATAAAGGAATGTTAACCTAAAAATAAGCAATTTTTTAAAATTATTATTTGCAACCTTTTAGTTCCTTTAATATTGTTCTGCCATGATTTTACCCTGTTTCTTTTTTTTATTTTATTTTTTTTGTTATTGTTTTTAGCAGGATAAGTTACTCATTGTCCAGCAACAACAAATGAAAAATAGCCTTTTGACTAATTCTGGCAAATTTATAAAAAATTTCATTAATTTGCCCCTACCAAATAAATTACATCTAAATCTTTTCTGTTTTTGTAGTTTCTGATAGAGCCAACCTACCCTGACATGCATTTTGGTTAGCAGTAGTTTAAGTTAACCAGTTTATCACCAGAATTGGAACAATGTCGGGTGCAACAAGTGTCAAAGCATTGATACTTTAGCTAAAATCGGTTTTATAAAAAGGGGATTGCACTGAATTAAAATAAAGTAATAAAGCAATGTATAAGATGTATAAGATGTGCAGTGCAGATGATGGATGAGTCAGATAATGAATGACGATGAGAAGAAAAAAACAGCCCTGAAATGTCAGACTAATCTTCTGGCAGTCAGTGGAGATGCAGACGTCAGATCATTTTTTGATTTCATCCATAAGGCTAAAAATGTATCTACTGACGTCTTCCATGTTAGCAATTAACGCACTGAGCAACGGTCAGCAGTTTGAGGTTCAACATTTCTCTCTTCATTATGTACAAACTGTCCTATGGTCCCTCTCCATCAGTTTTATCAAAAATGTGACAGCAAATAATGAGATATGTTAAAGAATCACTGTGTTATAGTAAAAACTAGCTTTGTTCAAGATTGTGGCAACTTTAAAGTATGTTGTTAAAATGTTGGAAAGTACACCAATGTACCTGTACAAATATATACAGTGTAAGTAAGCGGTAGTTTTCAAGATACATAAAAATATAGAGAATTTACAACAGAAGAAGAGCATCTGTTCAAGGATATCCAATATCAGCAAAAACATTGTAAACATGTCCACATTGTTTATGAGAACATTTTGATTCAAATTTAGGGTTTTCAAGTGACTTTTGTGGTGTATCACATTTTTATAGCAAAAACCCACAACTTAATCCCCAAGGGGAAAAAAAGTACAACTATTTTGTTCTGTTAAGTATTTTTAAACTGAGAAATTGTGTGTTTTTATGGCTTTTTAAAATGTCCTCACAATAGCAGTTTTAATTTACAGTGCTTTTCTAGTCTGAGCACTAAAAACACTTTACAGATGTTGTAAAGTGACATGCCCTGGGCACGTCACTTTACAACATGTGTCAGAGGGCAGGAAACTAACTCTGAACCTGCAACTTTGTGATGTCAAAGCATATCCACAGTTTCTAGCACATATGAGTTATTAAACGTGGCAGGCAAACATTAGGATAAATGTAAAACTTTAACAGAGTCTATCCCTTCACGAAGCAAAGATTTTTCAATGACGCAGAGCTCAGACCCTGTCGAGGAAGTGAAGCATAGTCATCAGTGAAATACAGACAATTCAGACACGATTTGAGTGAAGTAACAGTTTTTAATTAGAAGTTTTGTACAGTAGATTTTTACATTTTCACAAGCTAAGAAGCAAACGATGTCAGACAGGTCGGGCAACTTCTGGTCGTTTGGGTTGGTGGTAAACAGCGAACATGTTTACCGTCTTCAGTCTGTATCAGATGAACCATTTTTAAAACAATTTAATTTGATCTTCCATAATCTGAAGAGACATTAGGATTTAAAATTTAAGTTTCAGAAACCTTCTTAGAATCAGTTCTGAGTGAAAGCTTTATTATGAGCCAACTTTTAATGCAATGTTTTCCTCCAAACATTTTTAAAAGGAGTTTCGATATCAAACTCTGGCACACTATGAAATAGCCTTACTTACACCAAACAGTTTTCCCTTTTGCCTAGCCTATCATCACCTTTGTAGTTAATTTTGGAGATAAATCCAGAAATAATTACAATATCTGCTCCAAGCAGTTTTAGGACATGACCTCGTTCACTTCAGCTCTTAAAAATAAAGACAAACCAGTAAATAAAAGTTAGAAAAATAATTGTTAATCTTAGCCAAAAAAAGAAACTAACAGCTCATTTCAGCAACTTCGTAAATGGGATTCATCGTACAAACAATATGATTTAACTACAAGGAGAGGGCTAGCCTCTTTCTCAGATGCAATAATATTCCATAATCATATACATACAGAGAGAAATATACATTTGTCTTAAAAAAAACCTATATTCTGGCTTATTTGTTGTACTTTAAGTTGAATTGGAAAATTGAAACAGTTCACAATGCTCTGAAAGAGAATATTATTAGACATCAACTTGTCCGATTCAAAAGTTTCAGCAAAGTACGTACAGTGCATATACCATGTTTATGCTCGATAAATAACATTGAGGTTCTACGATACATCAACTGTGTTCTGATTAGCTACATGAACCAAAGCAGCGAGTCTTTAATGCTCCCCCAGGAGCAACGAATGGTCAGAGAGAGAAGCTGAGTGTGCTGAGGCGAAATCCTGAATACAAGCTGTAGAATGGAAAATAAGGTTTGTGACTTCCTGTGGCAAGAACCAGACACTGTATGTGTTCAACTTCACTTTCTTTTTAAAACTTTTTGTCTTAAGCTTCTCAGAAATTATACAAAGCAGACATAAGATCACAGAAGATAATGGGAGAAAAAAAAGATGAAAGTTGACTCAACTCCAGCTAAAGCTAAAGCTGTTCGTATGTCCGTCCGTCCATCCATCCATCCATCCCTCTCTCCCTCCCTCACTCCCTCCCTCCGTCTCTCCATCCATCCATCCATCCATCCATCCATCCCTCTCTCCCTCTCTCCCTCCCTCCCTCCCTCCCTCCATCCCTCCCATCCATCCCTCCTCCCTCCCTCCCTCCATCCCTCCCTCCCTCCCTCCCTCCCTCCCTCCCTCCCTCCCTCCCTCCATCCATCCATCCATCATCCATCCATCCATCATCCATCCCTCCCTCCCTCCCTCCTTCCACCCCTCCCTCCCTCCCTCCCTCCCTCCATCCATCCATCCATCATTCATCCATCCATCCCTCCCTCCCTCCTTCCCTCCATCCATCCATCATCCATCCATCCATCATCCATCCATCCATCCATCCATCCATCCATCGTCCGTCCGTCCGTCCGTCCATCCATCCATCCATCCATCCATCATCCATCCATCCATCCATCCATCCTCCATCCATCCATCCATCCATCCATCCATCCATCCATCCATCCATCCATCCATCCATCCATCCTCCATCCATCCATCCATCCATCCATCATCCATCCATCCATCCATCCATCCATCATCCATCCATCCATCCATCCATCCATCCTCCATCCATCCATCCATCCATCCATCATCCATCCATCCATCCATCCATCCATCCATCCATCCATCCATCCATCCATCCATCCATCATCCATCTCCATCCATCCATCCATCCATCCATCCATCCATCCATCCATCCATCCATCATCCATCCATCCATCCATCCATCCTCCATCCATCATCCATCCATCCATCCATCCATCATCCATCCATCCATCCATCCTCCATCCATCATCCATCCATCCATCCATCCATCATCCATCCATCCATCATCCATCCATCCATCCATCCATCCTCCATCCATCCATCCATCCATCATCCATCCGTCCATCCATCCATCCATCCATCCATCCATCCATCATCCATCCATCCATCCATCCATCCTCCATCCATCCATCCATCCATCCATCCATCCATCCATCCATCATCCATCCATCCATCCATCCATCCATCCATCCATCCTCCATCCATCCATCCATCCATCCATCCATCCATCGTCCATCCGTCCGTCCGTCCGTCCGTCCGTCCGTCCATCCATCCATCCATCCATCCATCCATCCATCATCCATCCATCCATCCATCCATCCATCCATCCATCCATCCATCCATCCATTTTCTGTTCACCCTCATCCCCAGTGAGGTCAAGAGGTTCTGGTTTATCTCCAGCTATGTTCCGGGCGAGAGGCGGGATCACCCTGGACAGATTGCCAGACTGCCGCAGGCTGTTCGTATAGTTAAACAAAATATTTTACATTCTCATTGTTACTGACTGATTCAAATGAAATAATTCCATCAAGTATCATCTACAGTCATTGCTATTGTAGATATTTTCCTTAAATATCCAGGCACCAATATTCCATGAATAAGGTTAATGTAGTACCAAACATTTCCCCACTATCATGTTTCAACATGACAATCCACATAATTTAGATAAACTGGAACTAAAATGTCACCTGTAGAACTTGAAAGACATTATGTATTTTTGATTCTCATTACTGCCAGATGTGGGAGCTGATTTTTCTTAAAAAAAAAAAAAAAAACATTGGAAGTTTTGTTTTCTGTGATGGCTTATCAGGGCCATTATAGATACAAAAGTAAAGTAAAAAAAAAAAAAGTGTAGTAAATGTGTGCCAAGAAACTAAGAAATTGATAAATTAATCTAATAAATTTGAGAAAAAACTAATTTTTGAGTTTGAAATAGCAAAGCATTGCAAGAAAAAATAAATACATTTTGAGATTAATAAATTTTTTAATACATTTCTGACATTTCCAAGTGTTTAGTAGAACACTTTTTAGATTAGTCTTACAGTGTCTGAGTTTTTTTCTATCAAATTTTCAACTTTTAGATATCAAAAATTCCCTCGTTTTTGTCTCTGAAATTTCTGAGATTAATCTCAAAATATGTCCGTTTTTTTGGTGGAAATTTACTCCTTTTTTTCCACAATGCCTCTAATACACCACAGCTTGAAATGTTTGCACCAAATTAGTAATTTTGAGCAGGAAGTTCTGGAGCGTTGGACATCCAACGCTCCAGCACAAAAAGATAAATCTTTTAGTTACAAAGCTTTTTACAGTGGCTTACAACTTTGCAGAGAAAACACAGTTTATTAAAGGATATTTCTGCATCTTCTGTTAAAGATGCTTGAATCCTAAGCTGCTAAAAATTTTATATTTTGCTTCACAATGGGTTTTTTACAAGTCACCGTTAGTGTCAATAGTCTTTAAATACATTTCTTAATCTGTCAGCAGTTACTATGCTTATCAGAGACAGTACGTACTGTGCTTTGTACAATCACACCTCTTGAACGCTCCATCTCTCACTTCATTGAGCTATCCCACTGTGATGTATGGTGGCAGAAGTATCGTGGTGGCATTTTCTTTTCCAGTAGGTGAAAATGGAGCTAAATCCAGGGACAGTAGTTCACCTTTTAGCAGAATAAACTTAAACATACTGCTAAAAGTGATATTGTGTTAGATTGACACAGTCAAAGTCCTGTCTTAAATCAAACTGAGAATTTTTGACAAGATTGAGAAATTATAGTTGAGACCAATAAAACTGAGGCTAAGCTGTGTTGTCTGTTAAAAGTTTGCATAGTTTATGAAGTACAGTGTCTTGAAATATGCATAACATAAACTAATAATTCTGGTTGTCATGAAGAAAAGTGGAAGTAGTTTAAGGGGTGGAAACACTTTTGCAAAGCACTGTGAAACTGAACAGTGAACACCAAGACATTGTCTTGGGTTAAATTCCAAACCTACGGTCTTTGCATGTCCAGTTATCCAGTTTCTTCACACAGTCCTAAGCTTAACTGGCAGCTTTAAATTGCTCATGTGGTGTGTATGAGTGATTTATTTATGATTGTTTGTCCAAAGCATGTCTGTTTTGTTCCCTGATGGACTGGGGACTTTCCACGGCACACCTCACCTCTTGCCCAATGGCTGCTGGAGATAGAAAAGATGGACAAAGAGGACAAATTTACCTTCTAAGAAATTCTGTCAAAAACCTGTAATTGTTGGGTTATAACCAATTAACACAGGGTGTGGGATTGGAAGGGTTTCAGAAAATAATCAATTAAAACCCACTCTGACATTAGGGAAGCATAGAATTTCAGGTAGTTTTAAGTAAGAGTTGTTGAAAACAATTGACAATTTATCAGGTGCATGAGTTTCAACCATATTGTTCAGGAGCTTTGTTGTTGTCTTCCACAAAGGAACTAAAGAATGGAGAGTTTTTATCAGGTGCAGGAACAGACGACAGGAGTGGCTCCAACATTGATGTTTGATTTATGCATGTCTATATTCATTGTCTCATGTGTGACATGTGATGTATTTGTTTGTAGGACCTTGCCATGTGTGCTTATCAGCTGTGTTAGTGTTTAGAAAGAAATACAGTGAAGACATTTCTGGGTGCGGCCTTTGAAACTTTTCCACTGCTTTTAAGCAGGTAATGTGCATTTGGGTCTTTAGTTAAGCTCATAAAAATGTAAAATACCAGATCACATCATTATCAAAACATACACAAATCACAAAGGAGACTGAACAACACCAAAAAAACGCTGCCTCAGCTTCACTGAACTTACTGTGACTCTTAAGCAATTGATCCCACCAAAAAGCCTCAACACGCAAACATAAACGGGTGAAAACTTGAATGGGGAATTCTGAAAACTGATGTTAATTTACACTGTATTTCAAAGCTGTTCGCTCATCCATCAGTGGAACGTAGTCCTCAAGGATATTCTGTCACATCTTTCTGCTCAAGTGGAACTTATAAATGCTTCAAATCCACATTTCTGATCAAACCAGCTGGAATGAAGTCAAAATGTCTAATAAATCACGATTTTAGCATTAAGCTGTAGTGCAAATGCCAACAGATTGGGAAACAAAAGTGTAAATGAAAAGATCCAGGGACAACAAAAGCACAAAAGGTACTGAAAAAGAAAGAATATCATTTTCCTTTTTTGCTTTCTTTTATACAAATATGATTTTCTCAGTCCATAATTTGCAGCTTTCTGGCAGCAAGGCTACAAGTAGCCAAAGTAGAGCAGCAGGGGCAGCAAGGAGGTGACGCTTGCAGCCTGTCTGCAGACCGCCGAGCCTCGCAGGATGGCATTGGATGCGCTTGGACCATCTACCTTCGGAGCTTGGGGATCAGACTGGAAGGAAAGACAACGCATGGTTTAATGATTCTAAATGACTTGTGATGCAAAGATAAACAGATACCTCAGTCTTAAGACAGACTCTTAAGATTAGCTGCAGACAAAGCAAAGGCCTAGTTCTGTTCAGTTACATTTCTATAAATGTGTCCACACGTCTGCTGTGTTGCCTAATGGCCTTGTGATCAACTTCAAACAGGACTCATATCTTCCTTCCATTGCTGTTTTATTTTTCCAGTGACTCAGTGTGAAGCTGTGATTGCATGTCCAGTTCAATGTGTGAACTACAAACACTTGGTTGGTTATTATTGTTTGAGAAAAGTTTTTATAGTTTTGATGTTGCTCCTAATAATGACTGCCCAGCCTTCAGAAGCTGCACTTATAGTTAAAAAGGGATCTGGAAGCCTGAATATTTTGATGAACTTTTTCCCTCAGTAAAAACACACATTAAATTTCCATTGTTTATGAGCTTTAGAAAAATCCTCACCACATTTTTATCAGGGCATATTAAACTTTTACATTGCACAATGAACTAATCAAATCAAATTAATTAAGGGTGACAGAAATATAATGAAAGGTTGTTTTTGTAACTATAAAATCATGAAGTGAAAGAATAAACACATTCTCAAATGTGAAGGTATTTAAATTAGCATGGCCCAGCATGTAAAAGGTATGTTAGTATTTTTGCTCCATTGCTTATGATGCTACAAGCCAACGGCTGGGTCATCTCCAGACGACCCGGTTCTGCTTCCATTAAATGTCAGTCCAGTGCATAGCAGTGCCTTATTATTGCAGAATGACATTTACAGTGAACTTTAAAAGTCTGCAGATAAGCAACGATTCCATTTCAGCCTCAAAGGAACTACAAAGACCAAGACTTTACAGAGAAGGCAGCAAAGATTGCTGTGGCAATCACCGTCAGAGGAAGGTCAGACACTTCCAGCAGAGAGGTCGGATTAGGACCCTGTGATGATTTGATCACTCAGCAGACTGCTTGGTGGTCTTAAATACATTGTTTCCAGGAAGAAAAAGACTGAAACTGTTTAATGTGTTTGGGATTTCTGAAACTTAGGAGAAAAATGTCTGTTTGAAAATATATTAAATAAATTATTTTAGCCAATACTGGTACTTCTGCATTAATGTAAATGGCCAATATGGTAAATGGACATACCTTCTTTGAAGTTTTTACCGCAAAATTGTTTTAAAACAGGCAGAATGATATCATAAAAGTTTATATGAACATCTTTGAAACAGATTCATATTGTTCATTCAACTGACTACAATTTTATTAAAGCCACTTGCATTTTCCAGTTTATACTTACTGAACAGACATCAACAGTGGTGTTTGAATGTAGTTTCTGAGCCTAGAATGAAAAAATGACAAAAAAAAAAAAATCACAAACCAAATAATATTTTAACAGTTAAGCCCACAATTATTCAAACCCTGAGAGATTGAAATATAAAGTCATCTGTTGATTTGACCAGCGAGATTAATGTTTTAAAGTTACCCAGACAGAGTCCTGGCTTGAATTTGTGGAGAAAGATAAAGATTAGGGTGATGGAACAGAGGTCTTCTACCCTCAGACACTGGGAGCTCATCACCAAAGACAAATATGTGATGTTTCATGGGAAACATGTTGAAAGAACAATTTGATTGTTGTAATTTTATTTTTATTTATTTAACCTTGATTTTACCAAGATAAAGTCGGATCTTTCCCCATCAGAACATGACTAGACATTTCACACAAGCCTCTTTACAATACTGAAGAGTAACGCTCTGCCTCCACCATCACCTGAAGAGTTTCTTTACCTGGGGAAAATGTTGCTTTCTGACATGGTGTTACTCTCCATCAGTTGTATCATTGCTAGCTTTAGATTGTGTAATGTGGAACTTTAATTGCTTTCTAGGATGGCATGACAACGAACTGCAGTGTGCGTCTACCTCCGTTCCCTTTGATTCATTACAGAAAGGTCACTCTGGATCTCACATCTGTTCTCCGCCTGGAAACCACAGAGTGAGCAACTGTCCAACAAAACAGCAATTTCATCAGACGGCCCGAGGAGGGAATGAAAGCATGATTTGTAGTATGTGCAGCATAACTTGCACGACTTGAAATATCTCTCTGTAGATTTTTACCTTACCTTTGTTCCCATAAAAGGAGACACTGAGGATACAATAACATACTCAAACAATTGGCTGGCCATTTAGGTTAATTAATTTCTGCCTCAAGACATTTGGCAAACCCTTCCTAAGTTCACTTTGCAATTCATTTGCTATGAAAATATAAAACTTTTCCTATAGATGAGAGTAGAGCTGGATTTTGCCCATTCTTAATGTGCATAAACAAAATCAATACAAATACGTGGGAGGAATGCATGTTCCTCCCTACTGAGAATTTTAGTCATTTAATTTAATGACTTTTTATATCCTTTCCGCAACTTTTTTTATGGCTAGCTCAAACTGGATTTCCAAGCTATGGTAAAAAAAAAAAAAAAAAAGAAATGAAAAAATAGCTTATTTTGTTGCATAAACACAGTAATGAATATGAAACAACAGTGTACCGCGATTAAATTGCTGAGGTAGATGCTGTTGTACTGCAGCTGACACAAATGTTAATGTGATTTGGAAAGATAAAAATCAAGAACTGCTGTTGCTTTTTGAAGTTTCACGTGATTTGTATAGAAGAGTGATACAGAAATTGTAGCTCTAAATATGCCAGCAGATTTAAAATGCTGGTTGGAACTAAAACCATACAGATTCTTCTATTAACACTATAAAACAGCTTTATCTGATTACCTTGGTGTGTAGTTTTGTACACATAATGCCAGATGGTTTCATTGTTTTTAAAAGTATTGCAACCTGTTGAACTTTTCCACACTTTGTTAGGTTATAAACACAAATTAATAAAATTACGATGCATCAGTTGCCTGACTCAGCACCAGAATCAGAATCAAAGGCCAGATTGATATCAGATTTTGACTTCATAACATTGCAGCTGAGAAACAACTTTATGAGCCATAAAGCAGGACTCCTTGGAAGTTCAAGGCTTGTCATTTCTTTTCCTTCTGCAGGAAAGGAGTTGAAGAAGAAGTTGAGACCATTTCTTCATTCAGAATACATGCTTCTTAATGTAAAGTTTTATTTACCCACTCAAACAATGTATTTTGATGCTGTTTGCTGAAAAATGGCTTGGCAACACCTGGTTAAGCTCTTCATTTCTTGAAGTTGGTCCAAAATGTAGAACATTTTATAAACTGTGACTGAATTTGAGTTGAAATTACAACCTCAAAAAATAAAACAAATTGGACTTTTTTATTAAGTTTATCACCTTGAATCTTGTAACTAGTTTTTCAATCTCATAAATGATATTTACAAGTTAAGTTAATTGTCATCAAATATTGAAACAACAAACGTTTCTTCATAAGCTGAACTAAAATTTTCAATTTTGTGTTCTATGAATTCATTCTTAATTCATTAATTTAACAAATTTTCAAATAATGTCTGAAGTTCATATTTCAAATTACATCGCATCAGAAAGTGACTGGCAGCTTCATGTATATAGTTTCTATTCCTTCAGACAATGAATCTGTTCATTGTCACATTCATTTGAGCTCTGCATTTGACTGTCCTGTTCGTTATGATGTCATAAAGTTTTCAACAAAGGTTTAAATATAGGTGAGTCATTGAAACTAGTTATTCTGGTAAAAATGTTTTTTTCATTAAGTTTATGAACATCTTCCTATGTTTTTCTAAAACACGACCTCCAAAGCTCGTTAGGAACCAAAGTTTTAAAGGTCATTGGATTAAAATACACTTACATACATCATGTTTGCATGCTCCAGATCCACTCTGAAAAGTCACATTAGCATGAAGTAACCAGATTTATCCAGAGCAGTTTCTACGTGCTTAAAATAAGAATATTTTCATCAAGCTATATTGTAGGAATAACTATGACAGCAACAAAGATGATGGCAGATGATCTGCTTTCCTGTTTCCTCTACAGGAAAAATAAAACAAACAAACTTTTTAGCATTTTATTAACACAACATTTATGAATACAGATTATGGAGTAAAGGAAAGAAACTGGATGTATTTAATAGACATAAAAAATTGGTGACCACAGACAAAAACACATCAATTTCCAATTCGCAATAATGACTTTACCCTCTTTCAATCATCCCACTCATTTTGGTGCTTCTCTTCTTTTTTGTATCAACTATGATGTTCTGTGAAGAATGAAGTTAATTGTCTGTATATGATACAGTCGTTATGTTCTTTTCTTATTAGACAATTTTTTGTCCCTGCAGACTCACACATATGTCATGATGGTTATGATGAAACAAGTCAGGTGTGTTTTACAGAAGGACCGTTCATTTTGATGAATTAATTACATCAACATTACCTTGGAAAATTTTAACACAATCAAGTGCTTTTGTTTAGATATAAAAGTTCTGATTGGAAGCTTTGTTTTCAAGTGTTTTTTTTTTTTTTTTTTTTTTGTTACTCCCATAAATGTGATGCACAAGTGACATCCGCAAACAATAGAGGTGGATGGCAAACAGATAACTTTTTTATCAAAAAAATGATCTGACAGTGGGAAAGACGAGTTAGGGTTAGCCGTGTTTCCATTGGTCATAAAAATATGCAAATTGGAAAATACCTGTTTTTTTATGGAAAAGCACAAATTTTGTAAAAACACACATTTTTAGACAAAGTGGTTTCCAATCAGTATCAAAGTCAGTGTATTTCACAAAACTGCAATGAATCATGAGACATGTGATCAACAGTCAGATTTGAATACTAGTGGAAACAATGAGGAAGAAGACAGGAAGTGGAAATCATTACATAACATCAGCAAGAAACATAAATGTTCAGGACGCTTCCAGGGAAATATTATTGTCAAAGACGTTGCATGAAACATCAAAGACTTGAAACACTTAAAAACTGAATGGTGCAAAGAGATACTATAAACAATCTGATAGTCGAATAACCTGATTGACAGATTAAAGATAATAAATATCTTTGTCGTTGAGCTCAACTGTCTATTTATTACATAATTTAGAACCAGAAATTGTTTTGATTTGAGAATGTTGCTTTTTTGGTCAATAGGTGTTTTTTTTTTTTGTTTTTGTTTTTTTTTTTTGTTAAAATGCATTTAATTATTTACACATTCTGCACAGACCCAATTAAAAGTTTTAATCGAGAAACATCATTACTTTAAAGATCAATTATACTGACTAAAAACAAAAGAATCTAGAAACTATAGGATATTTAAAGCTCCTCTTTTAAACAAAATTGATTCTTAAAAATGAAAACTTTGCTTTTAACATAAAAGTAAACATACCTTAGGTTAGCACTTGATGGCTTTTAGATTTTCTGGTTGATTATATTTGTGCTTGCATGGGTGTGTGCATGTGTGCATGCGTGGGTGTGTGGGTGTGCACGTGTGTGCATGTGTGTGGGTCGGGGAGTTGTGAAACAAGGAGAGATCAACAAGAAGTCGACCTTCTGACAGGTCTGTCCCAGGAGGATGTCACTTCTGACAACATAGTTTTTCTTGATGCTAGCATATGGACACATAAAACCCACGCACACGCACACACACACCCTCACGCACACACACACGCATGCACACACAAAGGCACGCACACACAGAAACTTTCTCTGGGGAAGCATTTAAACACAGCAGCCCTCTCTAACTTGTGGTTGGCATGCTATCAGAGCGGTTCTGACAGCACACATGCATCACTGCATCACCAAAGCTCATTATCAGTATGGACAGTGCTGGCGTGTGTCACTGAGCGCACTGGTTTGTATTTGTGTGTGCATGCTGGCGACTATAAATGAGTCCATCTGCTCACTGTATGGTTGCACAATATATGTTTCCAAAAACCAAATAGAATTGATGTTTTTGAAAGAAAAGCCATTTGGGATTTAAAAAAAGATAGTAAAGCAAGGAAAATCATAAAATGTCTGAAATCTTTTGATCCACCAGAACAAAGCGGCTAAATAACACCAGTAATGTGATGTGTTTTATGTAAAAGTTTACTGAATGATAAAAACTCAAAGCTTGAGAGGCTATGTATATAGTTTTTTTTTTTTAAATGAAGTTAAAGCAGTGACAAATAAGCTAATGGAAAGATTGGATTTTCTATAACCTGGCCTTCACCTTCCCATGCAATCCCACTAGACTCTCATCTCCCTTTACTGTTCTGTCTTGGATTTATCTCACCGACATTGATTTCTCAGTGCTGTCAACTAGACCAAACAACAAGCAGAAGGATAAGGTGTAAATGATGATGTTTATATTCTGTGCTGTTTTAGAATTGTCAATCATCCACATGAACACTCTGCTAAATGGTGGAGACACAACTCATCATGCAAGAAAAACCATTTATCTGTCCTCAAGCTAACATTCATGACATGCTCTGCTTAGAAGCTGCATCATAACAGAGAGCAAGGTGATGAAAAAAAGTGCAAAGGGAGCGCCATGCACATGTGCTTGATTGACAGGACTGATGACCACCAACTGCCTCTGATTTGTTGTTTCTAATTAACACTGACAGAAGGAAGAGGAGCTTGGCCTTACAGATTATCTGTCTCATAGCATACTGTCCCAATATAGTTTCAACAATTACGTGAAAAAGTGAAGCGTGTGATGACATCACACACAGTACTTTTCCACAAAGTATGTCAAATTGACAGATCAGAGGTGAGCTCAGCCAGAGTTGTGCGACAGACTTTTAGTTTGTCTCACCTGTAAGTTGCCACAGAAGTGGTAGAGGCTGGAGTCGGCGTTGATGTGGTTGTCTATGGTGTTGGGGTTGCGTTCACGATTTCTTTGGTAGGGCGTGGTGATGGAAGTGGTGGTCTGAACAGGAGATATCGGCGGCCACATGCCGATGTCCGTTCCATTCCCGAAGGCCTGGATGGCGTTACCTACAAAAAACAACAGCGATAATCTCAAAATGTCCACTTGGCATTCTCTTTGTAGGTGAGTCAGTGTTAGATAAGATGAAATGGTAAAGAAGGATTTCCAGTGTCCCAGTTTATCACCCACCTGAGTCCTATTGCGCATCACAATGTTGCTATTCCCCATGTTAAAATAAAATTTTATATTGCAACCACAATTAAAGGAGAGTTAGAAGGTACTTAAGTTTTGTTATCACTTCCTTCCATTATAAATTCACCACACCATCAAAAACCTGAGTGCTGATGTGACTTTTTGCCATTAGAGTCCATTAGCAGCCCTATTAATAGTCTGCTGTGGCTTTGATGTAAAGCACAAACGCACACATCAGAAGAATAGCTGAGCTTTACAGAGCTACTGTTTGACTATAATGATATGCTTCCTTCTAACAAAGAATTATAACCCTAATGCTGCGGTAACACGGCGACGGGTGGATCTGCATAACAGCTCTTTAACCCCACAGAAACAGAGGGTGTGAAGTGTCACAATGACGTTTACAAGGTGAGATGTGCCAAAGTGTTAATTTGTAATGTGATTTTTAGCTAATTAAAAATAAATCACTGAATTAATTTTTGCTCCAAAGATTAGGAATAAGTTTTTATTATTATTATGATAATTATGTGACAGATATAAGTGCAAGGGTATCTTTCTGAACCCAAACAAAAGTGGAACCTGAAAGTACTTTTGTGCTGTTGAAAAAGTTCATGTTGGGAATGGAGGAAAACTTCAGTCTGAAAAAAAATAATTATAAATTACTCGCAGTATCTGAATTAGTTTGATGCCATTTCCTTTGTGAAACAGAAAATAATGGCTTGAGCAAAATAAATAAATTTTATGTGATCTGATCTAATAATACTGTTGTCTGTCACACTCATTTTTTGATGAAAAGTTTTGGCGCAAGGACGAGGTGTTTTTTGGTTTTGGCCATATCAAAATTGGTTTATTTTACATAACTGCAAACACTTTTTTTCACATCATACCAGTCACGTGATCAACAATTGGATGTTGCCATTGGAGCAAACCATGAAGAAGAAGATGACAGGAAGTGGTAGGAGGACAATCACATGATCAAACTTATTCACATGTGATTTTAACTATGTTTTCTATTTAATGGGAACACTGCAATTGTTGAAATTCTATTAATAGAATATCAACAAAGTTTTGCTCAAATTTGTAATGGAAACGCAGCAAGTGAAGTTTATCAACTAATATAGCTAATGGACATAAACGATTATAGCTGTATATCAACAGCATGATTGTACACCATGGAAAGTAAAATAACTATAAACCTGGTCAAAACAAACATAAAAATCAGACAATCTCAAGAGTTTGAGGTCAACTATCCAGGTCCATCATGTCCTTCTCATGTTTTTTCATTTCTCACCAAAGATACCTCAACTCTAACAAGACTGAGACAAAAAACTTATCCAGTCTGGCAAAGGGCAAATTCCTTCATCAGCTGTTGAAACTCATACTTTGGTCTTCATGACTTTGATGCTCACTATGTTCAACACAAAGCTGCCTAAATTAGTCCCAATGTCCCCAACAGCTTATCGACTAACAACAGGTTTGACAGACTGCAATCCCTCATGAAGCAGGTTCAAGCTATCTGACAATAAACTCTGTGGATATTCTGACATTAGTTCATGAGCCTGTCAGGAAGCAGACATCTGGATGTTGATTGAACCGGGCATTTAAAGAGACAAGCTGGTGAGAACTGAGCCTTGTTGCTTTCTGTCTTTCCTTGCCCCTTCCTCTGCTGGAAATGACTTGAGATTAAACACACTGTGACCTACAAAGACATTTTCAGTTGGTTCCACTTGGCAAGTTTAATACCGTAAAGTATTAAGTAAAATCTGGAGGAGAGTCAACACATCCTTAAAAAGTCTCACTTAGAAAAACATTTGCATTTGGCAAATCCCAGATTACAAGCTGAATATTATAATATTAGAAATTGAATAGTACACTGAGGTTGACTGAAAAGGTACCGGGCAGGTAAATTGATATAGTTCTGTTTTAACACCTTTCTTGTTCTAAACTAAACCTGTTTTTTTGTATTTAGCTGAACATTTTGGAGTAAAAAGTAAACAAATAAGAAAATAAATAGTAAGCACAGACTGTTTTTTTCAGCATCCTTCTGGTCTGACAGGGTCCATTTTTGCCAAAAAGAGAGTGAATACTTTATTTTTGCTTATGTTTTTGTGCATGAGTAGCTGGAAGCTTTATGTGGAAACAGCAGAAGGCTGATGAGCACATTGAAAAAACTGATGGCTCTTTGCTGTCGTGTCTACCTCCTCACCTAAAGCATAATTACAGTCGGCTGTGTAAGCGCTCTCTGCATGAGTCTTACAGTATTCCGGATCAAACTCATTTCTGTTGTCTACATTTTAAATGTATAAATTATCTTCCTGAGATAAGTTAGTATACAAACAAACAGGTAACAGCATATGTGACAAATATTTCAGAATGTTTCACAAAGTGTGTTTAATTGTTTCATGTAGAGATCAGTGTGAAATTGGGTTTTCAGCTCTGTCAACATATTTGGTAGGAAAAAAAAACATATGACAGCAGCATCCAGAGTAATTATTTTCAGTGAAATGTGAAACGTAATTTATGATAATCTCGGTTAAGTGGTGTTGCTTGGCCCTGTTTGGAGCCCGAAAAAGAACCAGTGGGTTTAACCTGCCCTCATACAGATTAAACTTCACCACTTGGAAGTATTAATATAAAGGTTTCGCAGTAATCCTCCAGCGAATTTGCATAGTAAACTCTGAGATGGAGTGTTTGGCTTTTCACTGCAGAGGAATTGGTATTTCTGTCCCTGTTGAGTCACGAGACATAAAACCAGTTTACAGTCACTACTGTACTAAAACATAACTATGTTACTATTTCTTCATGGATATAACCATAGATAAACATTTTCTAGACCAAAGAATCTTCCGAAACAAATCATTTGGATTTAATACCCGCAATACAGAAAGAACAGCTTCAGAGGAAATATGGCAAAAATATTTCATGACGTTTGAGGAAGATTGCATAAAATATACAGAAAAACATCCATTGAATTGTACTTTTTACTTTAAATAAATCAGATGAAACTGCTGAAATGCACAAAGTGGTCCTTACTTTAATTATATATTTTTTTCTGTTTGCCCTTTTGAGGCTTAATAGGTGATGGAAATGTGTCATTGGAAGACAATATTGACAATTTTTAAAATATATATTTTCTGAACATTTTTCAACTAAAATACAAATGGCTGCTGAATAATTTTCCAACCAGCGGGCTTTTCTAGTTTTCTGGGGGAATCCCTGAATGAAAGCTGTGGAAATGCCTTACTTCAAAAAAGTTTTCCTTGTTTTAATTTGCAAACCCAAACATTCATGCAAACATCCAACCACACAGTGCATTTAATCAAACAATACAATCTTCCCACCGCGGCAGTTGCTGCTGTTTGCAGGGAGGACTCCCACACAGACGTCTTCATTTACTACTTTATGTCTGACTTTACACACACAGGGATTGTTGTAAAGATAGAATTCTGTTGGCTGGTGTGACCTTTGCATTTTCAGAGAATGAGCCATGGAAAAGCTTTGAATATATTAAGACCTCTGTGTCGTTTTGAGAGTATTAAAGCGGCAGATACAAATCTCAGCTGAGGAGTCACACTGCAAACGCTGATAAACTGTAAGACAAATTACAGGATCGAAATGGATTTGCTATCTTCTCACCAGATATTCTTCATGCTTTTATCAAGTTAAGAGAAAAACCACATGAGGAATATCTCAAACTGCAGACTCTGTTGGCTTTTATTTTAATAGGGCCAGAAGCCAAAAAAGAATGGTGCATGCTTCAGAATTAAAGGCTGATATATTCAAATCTGTCTTAATTAGGAAATTGCAGCTCTTCCATGATAAGGAGTATAAACTGCAGCAAACGGGCTCTCTACTTCTGCCCTTTCTCCGTCTTCCTGGCTTTCTCTGTTGTCGTGACCCTGTGGCTGGAGTGTCAGGATCTGTAGAGTTGTCAGTTCCAGTTACTGCTGAGCAAGCTTAATGAGAGCAGAAAGAGGCACGGCATGAAAGGATGTTCTTTGTCTATTGTACCACCTTTGACCTAAAAACTATATCTGCATTTTCATAACCATGACGTATAAATGAAGTACTTAAAGCGGAGAAAACTCTTCCATTTGATTAAATCTTTTTCTTCCTTCATTATTCTATATATTTGAACAAGATTTAAGTATAACAAATGGATTACAAATCCATCTCATTCGTCCTTGAGTAACATTTTCCCTGCTTGACCCCTTCCTCCGTCCTCCAAAGAAAAATCAATAAAGAATCACATTACATTAAACTGAGCTGTGAAAAAGCAGTAGCTGATAGTCTAATATCAAAACAGAGTAAATATAATCATTGAAAGAAACAATTCATCTGATTTGAAAAGTTCTTCATGTCATGTTCTTCCATTTGAAGTGCAGCAAAACACAAAAAAATAATTTTCAACGAATACTACAGCTAGATAAATAACTTAAAAACATTTCTGTAATTAACAAAAAAAAAAAGACTGAACAGGCTGAATGCAGATTATGATCAATATCCATAATGTGAGGTGATTTATTATACTGTTGACAAATCAGTATTGACTGTAGTATTCCCTGCTGACTGGAGAGTTTATTTAAAGGAAAGATTTAGGCAGTGATGGGCATCACTAACTAAAACGTTAGTAGGACTAACCCTAAAGCACTAATTATAAATCTTAGATCCACTAATGCAAAATGCTACATCAACATGCTATTTAGGAAGCTAATGCTAAAGCTAAATTCAGCCATGTTCATGCTCAAGATTAAAAAAAAGAAAAAGTGTTACAGCATTGTCGTTTTCTGATCAATATGCAGATGAATGTGGTTTATACAGTTTTTTTTTTTTTTTTTCCATTAAGTTTTATTGCAGGCTATGCTGCATTACTGCCCCCTTATGGCCAAGAGAGGTATCGTTGAAGTAATTAACTGAGCTAGTATTGTGTTTGTAAAATGTATAATTATTTTGATAGGTTGACATGTTACTTGATTATGTTATATTTTCTAGAATGAATTAATTAAACAAAAAAAAATGCGTTACCTTGAAATGAAATGTTAACAAAATGTGGACAATCGCCTTGTTTTACTTCTCTCAATGTCCATCACCCTCAACAGGATAAAATGTGTTACTGCACTCTGTTGAGGAGGTGGTTTGGAACAGACCTTTCTCTCCTGGTTTCAGTTTTATAGTTGCTGAGTATTGCTAACTGTATGTGAATTTTCTTTCTGAGCATGCAGAGCTTCTGTCAGAAAACACACAGGATATCAGTAGATGTTAAGCTGGTTACCACAACTTCAACAATGCATTCTGGATACAGAACAATCATGTTTGTTGCACCGTGTCATGAGTTGAGAACATGAGGAATGTATCCAAACAATTTGTATATTTGACTTTTTGCATGCATTTGTGTTGCTAACTCCACAGCTTGTTTGTTAATGTGAGTGTGGTATTTTTTTTTTTTAATTTTTTTAAAGCAACAATGTGAGGAAAAGAAACATAATTACTGTGTAAGAATTCCCTGTTAAAAAAGCTATCTAATCCAAATCATTCTAAGGTGTGAGTGTGTGCAGAGTGGTCTGTCGCATTTGTGTGTGTGTTGCCCTGTGATGGACTGCATCCTACCCCTTGCCCAAGGACTGCTGGTGACAGATATCAATACATCGAGCATCATTCAAAAAGTATCCCAATCCGCCATAATGTCTGCACTCATTAACTCTTATAAAGTCAACAAAACAGACAATTGGTCACTTTCATTTAATGTTCATAGGGTGCTGTACGATCAGCTGCACAAACCGATGCACACCAAACTTGTCAATTTACTGTAAGACCTTTGAGGAGGAAAGAAGTCAGATATGGATAGCAACCGTCAATCACAGGACTGGCAGGCCTCAGGGTATTTGAGGGTATGTAGTGAACACTTTTTACAAGTTATGAACATATATATATATATATATATATATATATATATATATATATATATATATATATATATATATATATATATATATAATTTGTATATATAATTTGCATATATAATTTGCATATATATATATATATATATATATATATATATATATATATATATAATTTGTATATATTTTGCATATATAATTTGCATATATATATATATATATATATATATATATATACATATATATATATGCAAATTATATATACAAATTTTATATATATATATATATATATATATATATATATATATATAATATATATATATATATATATATATATATATACTTCATATGTAAAATTGGAAAGATGCTATCAAATTTTGCATTAAGACGAAGGCACTTGTCTAGTTATCAGTTACCAAGGGGGAAATGACCCACCACCATGGAGCCGTCTATGTTCAAAAAACTAGTTAGCTTCAAGACTTTTGTACATTTTTAAGTTTGCTCTGGTGTAAGGGGAAATGTTGTTTATGGCACAGTGATAGAATCATGTGGTGTGAATTCAAGGAAACTTGGTAATTTGATGAATTCAACAAACACATCAGGGAAGAGAAAGCATGGTTTGATTTCTAAGCCAGCTATTTCCAACTTTTGTAAACTCTGCATGTAAACTCTGCATGTCATGAGTTACTTCTACAGACAAATTAGCTCGACTTGAACATGTAAAAACCATAGCTATCCTGAGAAAAACAACATGAGCAGAATTGCAATCACTCTGCTGAATAGTTTCATTGCCCTCTTCCTTCACGGCACCACAATGTGATTAGGTGAAGTAGATGTAAAGAGTCAATAGATAGTAGATGGAAGGATGGATGCTGATTATGTATATAACAATTTCATTAGATTAGCACCAGTTGTTTGCTTAGGAACACATACTAAAACATTTTTTTTTGTCAAATGCTCCTAGTTTTTTTTTTTTTTTTCTAGAAACAGAATAACTTTGTGTATAAAAACCGTTGCAGAAGAAGCTTTATTTGTCTGTGGAAAACCTTGAGAACAGTTCAACAACAGCTTTAAGGCACACAAACAGAAAACCAGGAACACAATGCTCTCACAGTCAGAGACTGCGGTGCAGCAATGCTGGTTTCTCTGTAATTCTGTGGGATAATAACTCAACCTTTGCAAAGGAATAAATTTGGTTTGGATGAGAGGAAAAAAAAAAAATGAGGGGATATGAGTGCAGAGCAGGATAAAGACCAGCGGAGAGGATGAAAATAGTAAATCATCCTAAGGAAGAGCCACAATTCAAAAATAGAAAACTTACGGAGGCAGGTGTTCTCTGTAAAAAACTCTGTGAACTTGTCGCAGTCATCTTTGTTGTTGCCACTGTTGGTGCAGTCGCAGTAAGGGGAGACGCTGATTTTTGGGGAGCGCAGGTAGTTGGGGGTCATCACGGTTCCTAGAACAGGTGGATACAAGGATTCATTGAAGTACTCGAGTTTAGCAACAAATGTGATCTTACCCACAGTTTATGTCTGAAATTATGTCTAAAATGTTTTTTAAACACTTCTGAAAACCTCTCTTTTGCATGCAACAATAAATAAATAACACATGTATTCATTTCTTTTCCTTTACATACGAAGGAAACAAACTGAGGAAACAGAATGCAGAGGGGCTGAAGTGAAGAATAGCCATTTCTCTCTGCAAGGGGAAGTAAATAGCTTCAGTCAGTGATTTCTCACTCCCCCAATGGATTGTTCCTTTGAGCTGGCTGCTGTCCAATAAGGATATTTTTTTGTTTTGTGGTAGGCAGAATAAATCGGCAGTATGTGGACAGTATATATATTCGAGGGCTCGGTTTGGTCACATGCAGGAAACGAGAAAAGGCAAGCTGACAGTTTGCTTGGATCCAAGGAAAAATAAACTTCCTTAAAGTTTCCACTTGTGTCGGTAAAAGACGGTGAGATGCGTAAACAAATCAGACGAGCTAGAAGAAAGAATTCAATTGACTCCTGGATAACCTTTCACCCCCCACATTTACTTATCATGTCTGCATGTTGGTCCTCACCAATAAGGCCAGAGTAAGCCAGGAGACAGTCAGCGTAGTTCTCCTTCAGACAGCCAGACAGCGAGCGAGGCTCCGACATGCAGTTTACAAAGAAGTCAGCCAGTCGGGACCTAAAACACACGCACACACACATATGGTCATCCTATGAGACATTAACAATATGTACATTTTAAATGTACATATTGTTACGTTCACAGTTTTGCCCTTTCGTGGTCACCCTTGATGAGTTATCAAATAAAGCAGTAGAAGCCAAACAGGAAGTGCAGCACAGTTGCAGCAACATGGCAGCTCTGTAGCTCTGTATATGTTGTTTTCTAGTCTGCTAAACTGTCATCAGTGTGCATTATAATTTAATTCATTACATATGAGAGTAGTTTCTGCACACACCTTTTTTTAAGAAAGGAAAATATGCTTTTTATGTGTGAAGAACTATAGGCATATTACAATGTAATTTCACATTGCCAATCCTGCCCCCAACTCCCTGCTGGAGGGCAAAATTGTGTCTCCAATGATGACCACCATTGGTTTTAGCTGTCAAGTTGTCAACATAATCCACTGCATCTTAAATATAGATATTTAAATATAGATGTCCTCCCTTGCATGTTCCAAGGGGGGGCAGTGTTAAAAACACAAGTGAAAGTTAATGATGTTAATTTGATGTCGTTTTTTGTTTCACAAGATTGGAAAGTATAAATAGATTTTGTGTTTTGTTTTACTCAGGAAAATATATCAAAAAGTGCTAAAAATCTTTAAAAAGCTGTGAAGTAGGCCTTTAGTGATTGTTTTCTTGATGGATTGGGCAACCAATGGCTGGCGCGGTCTGATATTACATCAGCCAATGGGGTTGATTGTCCCGCCCCTTTCACTACCGCGCTGTGATTCTGCTCAGAACGCGTCAGACGCGGTTGAGAACTCACAGCTGAAAAAGCTTATAAAATCTGGACAAACGGTAAGAAAAACAATATTGGTATAGTTTCTCAAAATATATAATTGAAAATAGTAAATTCGTTTTGTTTTATTTTTTATCTCTGAAAGTTTCTATGACAGCAGCTGCGACTGGGAAAAAAAATCCCCGTTAGCGTCAGACACGTCAGAGCGTTGATGAGTGGTTGAAAATTGGCAAAAACACGTAATATCTGACAAAATTTAATAAAAATAAAGTTGCATAGTAAGCTGTTGTATTATTATTATTATGTAAATTATATTTTTCTGTGTAGTTGTATTATTTTTCTTTGAGTATATGTCTAATAGTTCATTCTATTTCAGTCATGTGTTTTTTCGTTGGTATTACAAGAAATTTATAGTGTTGAAGCTGTACTGGCACTTTTAGATTGAAATATTCATTATTATTATATTATTATTATTATTATTATTATTATTATTATTATTATTATTATTAGCCTATTTTATTATATTATTTTTCTTTACCACATATTAAGCTAATGTCTTTAGTTTTACTGATGTGTAAGTAACATTGTATTCTGATAAACTGATGATTTTTGTACAACTTGAAAAGAAAACTTGAGCAATGATGGAAGATCTCTACATTATAACAATTTATTGATACATAAGTTTGATTGATATTGGCATCTTGTATTCTGAGATGTTTTGCTTTGGCCTTGTTCCAGGTCAGTTTTTTTTTATTTTTTATTACGGTGCACGTTTGACCTGGAGTGCCCAGAGACTTCAAGACCCGCTTCTTCTGAATTTGGATGGCGAGCCTCAGCCCAGAGAATCCAGTGATATGGTAGATAGTGACCCGACTGGTCACTATCCTTGAAATACTGAGGATCGACTGACACATTGGAAGAGATTGGACAAAAACTGAATACATTGAAACGACTGTTATTTATTTTATTTTCTGTTTTTAAAAAAAACGCATGCCATTTCGTTGCAATTGTATATATGGATCCACAATTGTTTTTATTATTAAATTTTACTCTTTCTTGTTGACACTTTGTTCACTTCTTTGTTGTTGTTCACACCTTGGTCCCCGAGAATTTAGAGTCTTTTGATCCGGCCCAACTTCTTTTTAGATATATAGCATTGGTGCTGGTCAGAGAAGTAAATTAAATTAGCTGCCTTTTGCTATTATCAGGTGTATTTAAAGTAACTTTTGGGTTACAAATATATAACAGAAAAAGGCATACAGTGCTTTGCTATCAATTGTCAAAATTACAACAGCTAAATAACAAGATTGTAGGGTATCACATTTCCCGTCAATAAAAGGTTTTAGTTTAAAAAAGTGGCAGAGGAAGTAGGTCAGTAATGCTGCTTTGACTTTGCCAGCCTTAAAATGTTCATGCGCTGCAGAATTTGATGTATTTCAGTTCAGTGATTAAAATAGTTATTCAGTGTTCAGACAATCACTTATTATTAATCAAAAAATAAACCTTAAACCTAAAAACATAAAACTGTAAAGCACTGAATGTTGTGTTCCATGTGTGTTTTCTTGTGTTGAATCCTGATACACTTGTGGAGCTGTTGTCAGTCAGTTACTATGGCAATGGATTCGGTGTGTGGTGTAGCCCACAAAGACGGACACATACAGCGAGAAAAAAGAATAGGAGCCAAGTTGTTTTTGTTGGGAATAAATAATTCTGTGTTTTCTTACATCTCTTTTAGCTGGCTGCATGCCCATATATGCGCAAACACACACACACCTGTGCACACGCAAAGGTAATGTAAAAGAAAAAGACACAATAGGGAAGGCTTTTTTAGAGTGTAGCTTATAGAGGCCAGCAACTGCTTGATCTTCTAGTTGAGTTGGAATTTCTAATGAAATGAAAAGATCAAATAAAAATCATGTCTTTCCTGATGTGAAACTAAGTGTCATGTGGCGAGTCCAAAGATGTCTTGAGTGTCTTTGCAGAATTTGGATCCATTTTGACAGCTATCAGTATCATTGTTTAGGAGTTCTTCATGCAGTGAGAGGGTTACAGCATCTGAAATCCAACACACATCAGAAAATGATAGTTTAAATTTCTCAGAAAATGGCTAAAACTGAGATTATGATTTCCAGACAATAAGCTCAATGTTTTTAAAATATGCTCAAAGTAATTGGCCACAGATCTTCACTCCATGACTCATAGCACTTCACTGGGAATATGTTGCATTCTGCTGCCAGTACAGCTACATAAATTCCCAACAGCAGGTATGATACCTGCCAAAGGTCTGGCAGCAAGATTTAATTGGTAAATAAAAATAATAAATATTTATAAAAAGGTGTACTTTCCAATAAAAATAAAGAAAATGCATTTTTCATTCTTTTCTTTTTGAGTTCCTCCCAGTAGCCCCCCCTGACTTTAACAGCAGTATGCCTGTAGTTCAACCTTTTATTCTGGCAGATTTAGTTTGAAGAATTCAATACTTTTGGGACAAAAATGTTAAGACAAACAGGAAGAGGGTTCAACTTGACTTTCAAAATACAATTCACAATTCAACAATTTTAGCACAACCTATTACAATAAATAAATAAAACCAAAACAAGAAGGATATTAACATATAGAGACAGAAGTAGTACTGCTCTTAATTATATTTAAAAAAAATAATATATCTCTAAATTTCATTTCAAAGCAGGACTTTAAAAGAATGAAATTATCTTGATAATTCTCCAAACAATCTGAAAGGGAGGCAGAAAGTGCCTGAAAGAAAAAGCATGGACATAAATTAATAAGAGTTAGATGACATTGTCTATGGAAATGTATGAGGACAGTTTTAAAATACTGTATTTATTTTTTTGCTCTTCTCATCGCTTAATGTAGCTATGCATAGTTTACTAAATTAAACATAAACCACAGATTTTGGTGGCTTTTTGAGTTGAGCCATATAGGTGGTGGCCCAGAACAGCATTTGAAAAGGGTGAATACAAAAAAGTGATTCACTGTCATTTCCACCTTGAAGAGGTTTTCTATTGGTTTTATGCCCAAAATGCTAAGAAGACAGTTTATGGAATCACATCATCACTGTTATACAATTCGATGAATCATTCACCTATAATTTAATTTTTTTTTTTTTTTTTGTGGAATGTTGCCTCGCATTAAAATCCAACAACTCGTAGAGCACATCTAAAATATTTGACATAAAATTCAGACTGGGAAGCTGAAATAACAAGGGCAATGGTGCTTGGAAAGCTATTGGCTGGCATTTGTAATCAGCCAATCCTTGAGCTCCATTTTGTTTATTTGACACTGATTGGCTGAATCTTCAAAAGTGGAAACTATGTATCACCCTTGATGGGGTGACACCACAGGAAGTTATATATATATATATATAATATATATATATATATATATATATATATAAAATTCCCTTCTCACCCACCGCGGGTGGTTCTTATCCTCTGAGCTCGGTCCTCTACCAGAGGCCTGGAGCTTGAGGGTTCTGCGCAGTATCTTGGCTGTGCCAAGGACTGCACATTTCTGGACTGAGATGTCTGATGTTGTTTCCTGGGATCTGTTGTAGCCACTGCTCCAGTTTGGGGTTACTGCCCCGAGGGCCCCGATGACCACAGGCACCACTGTGGTCTTCACCTTCCAGGCCCTCTCCAGTTCTTCCCTGAGGCCCTGGTATTTCTCCAGTTTCTCGTGCTCCTTTTTCCTGATGTTGCAATCACTTGGTATTGCTACATCTACCACAACGGCTTTCCTCTGATTTTTTATCCACTACGACAATGTCTGGTTGGTTCGCCATTACCATTTTGTCTGTCTGGATCTGGAAGTCCCACAGGATCTTAGCTCTGGTGTTCTCTACCACCTTTGGGGTGTTTCCCACTTTGATCTCGGGGTTTCCAGTCCATATTCTGCACAGATGTTTCTGTACACAATGCCTGCCACTTGGTTATGTCGCTCCATGTATGCTTTCCCTGCCAGTATCTTGCACCCTGCTGTGATGTGCTGGACTGTCTCAGGGGCCTCCTTGCACAACCTACACCTTGGGTCTTGTCTGGTGTGGTAGATCTGGGCCTCTATTGCTCTGGTGTTTAGGGCCTGTTCCTGGGCGGCCAGGATGAGGCCTCTGTGCTGTCCTTGAGTCCAGCTTTTTCCAGCCATTGGTAGGATTTACTGATATCAGCCACTTGGGTTATTTGCTGGTGGTACATCCCATGTAGGGGCTTGTCCTCCCATGATGGTATCTCTGGCACCTCAACCTCCGTTCCCTGTTGTCTGAGACATTCACTGAGCACATTGTCTGTTGAGGCTTTGTCCCTGATGTATTTATGGATCTTAGTTGTTTTCGTCCTGGACAGTGGTTCTCACACTCCTAGTCCTCTGCCTCCGTCCTTGCGGCTCGTGTACAGTCTCAGGGTGCTGGATTTGGGATGGAGCCCTCCATGCATGGTTAGTAGCTTTCTAGTCTTAATATCTGTGGCTTTTATCTCCTCCTTTGGCCAGCTATTATTCCAGCAGGGTATCTGATTACTGGCAGGCATAGCTGTTTATCGCACTGATTTTGTTCTTGCCATTGAGCTGGCTTCTCAGGACTTGCCTTATTCGTTGAGGTATTTAGCTGTGGCTCCTTTCCTTGTGGCCTCATCGAGGTTGCCATTTGCTTGTGGTATACCTAGGTACTTGTAACTGTCCTCTATGTCTGCTATTGTTCCTTGTGGAGTGAGACTCTTCTGTGCGGATCACCTTCCCCCTCTTTGTGATCAGCCGACCACACTTCTCTAGTCCGAATGACATCCCAATGTCAGTGCTGTAGATCGTTGTGGTGTGGATCAGTGAGTCGATGTCTCGCTAACTCTTGGCATACAGCTTGATGTCATCCATGGTAGAGGAGGTGACTGATGTTGGCCCCATTTTTGAGTCGGTATCCGTAGCCAGTCTTGTTGATAATTTGGCTGAGGGGTTCAGGCCTATGCAGAACAGTAGCGGGGACAGAGCATCTCCTTGGTATATGCCACATTTGATGGACACTTGTGCAAGTGGTTTTGCAGTTGGCTTCAGGGTGGTTTTCCACAGCTTCATCGAGTTTGCAATGAAGGCTCTCAGAATCCTGTTGATGTTATACATCTGTAGGCATTCAATGATCCAAGTATGCGGCATTGAGTCATAGGCTTTCTTGTAATCGATTCAAGCCATGCACAGGTTGGTGTGTCGGTTTTGCAGTCTCGGGCAACTGCGGTCTATGAGAGTTGTGTTGGCTCCTCTGGTATTTACACCGATACCCTTCTGTGCCGTGCTCATGTGTTTATCCATGTGTTTGCTTATCTTGGCCGCTATGATGCCTGACATGAGCTTCCAGGTTGTGGAGAGCAGGTTATTGGTCGGTAGTTGGGTGGGACTGGACCCTTTGATGGATCCTTCTGGATTAGGATTGTCCGCCCTTCAGTTAACCATTCAGGGTGAGTCCCACTTTGTAGCAGCTGGTTCATTTGGGCTGCCAGTCGCTCATGGAGAGCAGTGAGTTTCTTTAGCCAGTAGGCATGGATCATGTCAGGCCCTGGTGCTGTCCAATTTTTCATGCCTGAGAGTCTTTCTTGAACATCTGTCACAGTGATGGTTACCGGGGCTTGCTCAGGGAGGTTGCTGTGGTCCTCTCGTAGAGAGATCAGCCACTGTGCATTGCTGTTGTGGGACGCCTCCCTTTCCCATATGCCTTTCCAGTATTGTTCAGTCTCCAGCCTTGGTGGGTCTGCTCTGTTTATTACCCTGCCATTGAGAGTACACCTTAGCTGGTTGAGTGGAGAAGAGCCAGTTAATCCTTCTGGATTCATTCTCCCTTGTGTATCTCTTTAGGCGGCTGGCCAAGGCTTGGAGCCACTGTTTGGCAGTCTCGAGTGCTTCAGGTATGGCATCTGGCTGTACTTTCTGGGTACTGGTCTTTTCATTGTACCCTTGTGGAGCTCTGACAGTTGGCTCACTTCCCTCCTTGTTACCTTGATTTTAGCCTCTAACCGTCTTTTCCATGGTGGGTATTGGTCTCATGGTTGCTCTTATAGCCAAGTATCTCAAGGATCACTGATGCTGAGTTGTAGATCACTCATTGGTTTCCTGTTATGGTGTTGGTAGGGATCGTTCTCAATGCTGCATTCACATTCTCAATGAGACTTTCTGATGGTACTTCACTCAGCCGTTGTAATTGGCGCTGAGGAGGCCTGGTTGTCATTCGGGTCATGATTCTCTCTCTCAGGTCAGCAGCTGTCTCGTTCAGCTCTGTTTCGCTCATTGGGGCCGTGTATCCCTCACTGGGTGGGACTTGTAGTTAAGTCCCACAGTTCTGACATCCGGGTTCCTCCTTTTGCCGTAGCATTTGTGTGTATCTCGTCAATCTCAAGTTGTGATAGCAGTTGCCGTTTGCGGATGTTGGAACACTGAGCTACTAGTTGTTTAGCTCCTTCCCCAGTCTTTGCATGTAACCCTTCTGACTAGGGTTACTTGAGTAGTTAGCATTCCAACAGATCCACATTTTCATCTCTCGCCCATTTCCGTCTTGTTCCAGTAGCCCATTTGTCATCAAGGTGCTCTGGTTCCCCAACACCTGACGCAGACCTTGTTTGGCCGGGCGACGTCTGAGCCGGCATGTTATGCAACTTAGTATCTCTCATGGTATGAGGTAGGCAGTAGCTTGAAGGGTCTTGCCTAAGGACCCAGACTGGATTCGAACCCTGCCCTCTCGGGTGATATACTGATGCCTTATGTATTGAGCTATCCAGTCAGCTACACAAGATACACAAGCTATATATATATATATATATATATATATGTATAAACACAATGTATTTTGGATGTTTGAACTATTAAAATTAATATTTCTATGTGTATTTATGGATTTTGTACCCTTTATTATTTAGCTTTATTTATGCTCAAGAAAAAAAAAGAAGGTTCTCTGAATAATTCCTGTGAACGATAACATTCAGAAGGAAAGAAAATGAGTGAGATATAATTCATCACTTTGTACTGTAATGCACATAAGTCAACCATTTTCTGCATAATTATAATTTCTTTGTAGCTCCACGAGGAATCAGTTAACTCTGCACCAGATCATCCACATGAACGCCTCCTTCCTCTGCATGATCTATGTAATCCCACCAATCTGGAGCAGAGTGGAGCAACAACCAGCAGACCAGATCTGACATATGCTGTGGGAGCCTGTGGAAATGCACGGCTTTAATCTATCAGTGCTAACTGACAAATGGACTGGGAGGAACCTGCATTGCAGTGAGACTTGTTGTTCAGCCCTCAGCATATGTCTGATGGATTGTGAGCGCCATGGAGAGAGTGGAGAGAGAGAGAGAGAGAGAGAGAGAGACAGAGAGAGAGAGAGAGAGAGAGAGAGAGAGAGAGAGAGAGAGAGAAAAGCCAAAAATTGAAGGAAGAGGAAAATTCATTGTATGGATTTATTGCCTTCATGCTGGCTGCTGTTAAGAGACGGAGGCAGGAAAGAAGGGGGGGACCAGAGGCCACAGACTGAGCATTGATGTCTAGTGCTTCCCTTTAATCCAACAGACCCCAAAACACGACTAAGTGTGGCCCCAAAGAGTATGAATCAACCTCTGAATCACTCTGTTAAACTCATCTGCTGCTCAGCAGCTGTGTTTCCATGACAATCTTTGTCAGTAGTGTTGTAGTCAAGACCACCTAACCCAAGACCAAAACAAGACCAAGACCAGAGTGCATCGAGACCGAGATAAGACCAAGACTTCTAGGGTCCAACACCCAGTCAAGACCAAGACTGAGGGAAGTTGAGATCGATTGAAGACCAAGAGCAGCGGCCCGCGCTGCATGACACGATGAATGTGGAATATGATCAAAATTGCTTCTCAAATTGATCTAAAATATTCACATTAACATAAAAACACCTACATATATCAATTTCCTGAGGGAGTCTTCCCAAGGGATCAATAAAGTACGAGTCTAAGTCTAAGTCTAAGTCTACTTAGAGCTGAAATACTACTGTTGTCACTACTACTTTTTCTCATGGGTAATTTATGTATGTTTTGTAATGTAATTTTCTTTATTAAATATGTTAAATACTAAAGTGTGTAAATTTTAGGACATTTTTAAGCAATCCATCTAAATTTTGAGAGAAAACAATATCAACATACACACAAACATCAGCAGGGAAGAGAAGTTAGTTCAGTTGAAAATAGGACAACACAGTTTGTAACCCAATGTGCTGTTTGAACATATTGACTTTATTCTTACTTATTAGATCAACCACTGTTCATCGCACTAGTTTAGAAGCCATTCTGTAATGTTTGGAGTCCAACTTCCAAACCTGACCAATATCTTCATCTCATCCCACTGAGCTTTTCTCTCTTGCCTGTTTTCTTCATGTTTCACCATTGTGTCACATTCTGCTGTGTCCAACCTGCAGATGTAGTTGGTCCTGCAGGAGGCCTGCAGCTCCAGACAGTTTGGCATCTGCTTTTCCTCGTATGAGCAGACAGGGACGATGGTTTGACGCCTGCGTTCGGAGCAAGCCGTCTGGTCGCTGACAGGGCAGGAGCAGAACAGCATGCCGTAGCTGTGCTTTGGAGGAACCTGTGTGTCAAAAGAGGAAGCTGTTTTGAAATCAACATTAGCTGTGTTTCAACTACAAACGTGAGCAAAACTTTGTCAATGTTCTGCTACTGTCAAAAAACACAGTTTTGCAATTGCAGTGGTTTTCTTTAAAATAAGAAACACATGAATGAGTTTGTTCACAGGATAAGTCTTTAAAAAATGCACACTGCCATCATCCTCATCATCCTCATCACTGTCACCATCCTCATCATCGTCATCATCGTCATCATCGTCATCGTCATCATCGTCATCATCCTAAAACTATTTCCTGTCATCAATCACACAACTTGTGTGACAAAAAAAGTGTTTCCATAGTAATTTTACAAATTAAAACAAATTCCGATGCTACTCCAAAAAATACACATCTCATTCTAACGCCAAAACTTTTTGATGAAAAAGATAATTTTTTTTTAATTGTCCCGTTTCCACTAAGAAAATATATTCTCATAATACCAATTCTCACAATTTTATTGTAATGGAAAAGAGCTATTTCACCATGAGATTTCTGCTCTATGTGTGTAATGTTCTGTGCATCAATATCAAGTTAAGTTGCTTAACTTGTTAAATTGTTGCTATTCGACATCAAAGATATATTTTTTTCTTTGTTTTCAACAATGGAGAACCAAGACACCATCTGGAAATTGTTTCTTAGCTTTATTACCTAGAATGAACATCATGCCATTTGTTTGAATCATTATTTGTTTGTCTTGAAACTAGTGTATTTCACAAAACCGCAATAGAAACATTCTTTTTCTCATTGACTGGTGGAAAAGACTATGACAGCTGGATGATGGCACAGCATGTTTTTTAATGACTTATCACATCAAGAAACATATTCTCGTTTGATTTTAATTACATTTCTTATTTATTGGAAACAACACAACGGTGAAATTGTAATATATAGCCATATTGATAACGTTTTTTGTAATGGAAAAGCAGCTACTGTGGTTGAACAAATACAGGAGGAAACCTTTACGGTTTGCTAAACAGAAGTGAAAAATGTTTTTTTGACAGTTTGCTGATTAGTTCCAAGACTTGAATAAATTATTTTGGTTAGTATTCTCAATATTTCATTGCACTGAAACCAAATAAAAGCATCAATAAGATGAAGTAGTCAACAATATCAAGAAAATGCATAAAAAAGTAAAGACCCTTCCATAGAAATAAAAAATACATTAGTCTATGATTGACAGCATTTTTCATTCTTAGTGGCTTTCTATTTATTTCAGGTGGAACCAGCAAGATTGTTGTGCTGAGCATCATGGAGGCTGGACTGCAATCACAATACAGCAGAAACATACTCAGTGCTTCACATCACAGCCTTGCCAAACAAAAGAAGGCTTACAGTTTAATTTAAGTTTTGACAGTTTCTCAAATGAATCTACTTGAAAATAACGATTGTTTTCTTTAAAAAAAAAAAAAAAAAAAAACAAAGCACATTTTCTGGTGGTGGACATCAAAATGTTGTTCATCAGCAGTTGCATTGAGTTAATTGTCTTACCTTGTCAAAGAACTGCCGCAGCGCCTTGTGGCACTTCCGTTTGTTGCAGATCTCTGCGGTGGAAACGCGGCTGGTGCAGGGGCTGATGTAGGCTGACCGGTACTTCTTGCACGTATCGTTCAGGTTGCAGGCCTTGGCCGCCGTCAGGCAGTTGTTCTCTCGGGCAACCGCAGGCTCTCCTGCGAACACAGAGACAAACGATGGACAAAATGATGTCGTGACAACACAACTGCTTTAGACATTTACATTTTCACAAAAAAAAAAGATGTTTTTATCAATTTAAAAAAAAAACGTTTTTTGAGTCTATATATATTAAATCTAGCTAAATCTGTATCAGCAGACATCAGTCCAAGACAGAGAAATAGCGTTGATTTGATTTAAAACATGTCTTTTTTTTAAATACAGATATAAATGTCATGAATTACAAATGTATTTAATAACTCTGTACCAGTACAGCATACACCAACAGCTGCACAATGATGGTAAAACATAGAAAAACAACTTTTATTTGTTGAGTCAGTGCAATTAGAGTAGAGCAGCCATTAGTGTTTATTTGAGCAATTTTTATTTACCAAAACTGAAAAAATAAGTAATATAGCAAGTGAAGGGACCAAAACAATAGGTTGACTAGCTTGGTAAAACATACAAAAAAAATAAACTGCTGATCAGTGTGAAAATAAGTCCAATATTTCATTTTAAGATCTACTTATTGAATGCACACACACCTATTCACTAATATTATAACAAATGGTTATTGAGACATTCTGATACAACCAGTCAGATGATCTCTATTTGGCCCTAAATGAGCAGAACAGCAGCAGAATAAACGTTTCTTTTTCATCCATGCAAAAAACAAAACCAAACATAGAAAATCTAAAACCCAACTCAGATGTGTACATTTATGTTTCCAAATCAGATTTGTGTGTACAGTATGCGTTGCAGTGGAGCATCCTGAACACAGCCCTGCTTATCTGTCACCTCACACTGATTCTCTATTTTCCCCGATGTATCATTAATCAACATTTTCATAGACTTCTGAAGTTTGGAGTTTTTTGGCATGAAAGTGGGTTTAGTTTTTGTTCTTCCCACATGCGATGGTCTAAGACACGTTTATTGCTAACAGTAATTAAAATCTCCAGATGAGCAATGTAACCTGCTACCGCGTCCTGTGGGTTCTCAGCTACTTCACTGACTTAAATTGTTAAACTTTCACCCAAATGCCAGATGTTACAAGAAAAAAACAGTGTTCATGTCAGTGAACGTTTTGTCTTCTTGCCTTTAGTCCCTACATTGTTAGCAGTGCAGCTAGCTTTGATGTACTCTATGATCCAACCCAGCATCTTCAGTCATCAGTCAACTCTCAACTGTACTGTGAAACGGATTGTGACAGCATCAGGTCTCACCTACCTTCCCATTATCATCTGCTGAAAGCCTCCAGCAGGAAGCAGGTCATGGATAATCAGGCAGCATTTTACAACTAAAAGCGTTAAAAGCATTTGGATTTATTTCTGACAGGAGATTGGCAGTTTCAAGCTGCAGCAAATTGTCATCATCCTCACACATCACAAAGTCAGGAAACATAAATTTTATTGTTAATGCTCCCATATTACCATAAAGATGATCTCTTCATGGTAATGTGGGTGCATTTAGAGTACTTTTTATCCAAACACCTGAGATGTTCTGTCAATTGTAATTCCAAAGCCGACAATGAAAAAGACAGATATAGATACAGATTCAGATATAGATACAGTAACTAGCTGGGAAATGCAGCCTTACTGTGAAACTGTTCACCAAACATCATGGCTTAAACTTAGTCTGAGACCAGAAGAAAAATATCTTGATCACCTGTCAACTGAAATGCTTTTTGTGAGAAAATCAAAACAACTTAAAGTTACCTACAATCAAAAAATAATCCCTGTATAGATTTCTCTATTTTTACACATTGATATGGTCTGCTGCTCTCATTTCTGGGATTTATCCCAGGGAGCTGGATTTCTCAAGACGCCCAATCAGAAAACTGAGAAATTGTGAACGATGACATCAATTTTTTTGCTGTTTTAGAAATGTAGTCTGCTTGTAGTTTTAGTCATGGCAGCAGAGGAAAAGAACAAAAATGTTTGGTTTGTGTCGGTTATTCTTACAAATGCTGAGCAATTAAAGCTGTTAACCATGTCATAGCTCTGCTCTCCACAGTGTTTGGCATAAATCTCATTTTCCAATTGGCTCTGTTAATAATGAAAGTGATCATCTACAAAGTCTCAGTTGGTGGAGATCATCCACAAATGTTGCTGCACAATAAATTGTCCCAGAAGGTATTATGATAAATAACATTATTGTTGTTTTAAGATCATTTTTCACGTAATACAATTGCAATACCACAATAATGCAATAACACATTATCAAAGATCAATAAAGTTTAAATTGTAATGAACATTTAACACTGGAAGACCATTTCAATATTCAAAATAAATAAACAACAAATAAAATGAAGTCTCTGTAAACAAAAGTGCCCTTAAAAAAAAGTTTAGTTGAGACCAAAACACCAGACTGAAGACTTTGTCATCCAGATATTGGTATAGAGAGAAAAACAATAAATAATGTAAATGGACATTATTGATCTCATTTTACTATCATGCAAGTAATTGATTAATTGATTTATTGCTTTTTGTACTCTTCCTCTGTTCCACAGCGCCACTAGTGAGCTGAACTCCTGTTGCACTCCTGGCAGATGGCATCGTCTCTCACACTCACATGCAACACCCCCCCGAAACACACGCACATGTGCACACACATAATGCTCAGACAGGGCCCGCACCCTGTTGGGGTTGGGGCCATCTGGAGGCCTGGTGGTGGGGGAAAAACCCCCCTCACCCCTCACAGCGGCTCATGTTTCCGATTCAGTCTCAAATTGATTATCATGTCGTCTGTTTCCTCCAGTGCCACAGCTCCCTCCCGGCCCCCCTTTCTCTGTGTAATTACAGATGCCATGGGATACAGCGGGTCAGAACCTGACCCACCCCGACTCCACCCATGCCCCTCATCTGAACCGCCATTCCTCCATTCTGGTGACCAGCGACCGCGTGAGGCTCTGGATGCAAACCAACCATTAGTGCCCATCCTCCGTCTCCCATCATCATCATCATCATCATCATCATCATCATCCATCTCTTCACTTTTTTGTCCTACTGCTTTTGTTTTCCACTCGGCCATCTGTCCCTTTATTTCCCCCTTTAGAATAAGGTGAAGCTTTTTACTGGCTCTAAGTGGTTTCTAATAACTCTTAAAAAATCTCCACGTATTCATAGTAATTAAGGCCTAAAAACCATCTGCCTTTTCTGCTTAATCCTGATTTAAAGTTTTTGGATGAAGTTTGAGATTTGAGTGAGAGTGTTGTTCTGACTGCTGGTCAGCTGGAAAGCTGGGAGCACTTGACTGGTGTTTGTTTCCACTCCTTCACTCTGGGGCCTCTCCAGCTGTGGGTTCCTGCTGCGCCACCGGGGGAGCCGTCTGTAATTCACAGGCTCTCTGTTTGCTAAGTGCAATAAACAGAGCTATTTGTCCTGGTGGCATGGCAGCAAGAGATTACAAAACAAACCCTCACTGCCACGCAAGAGGAAACTAAACAGAGGCAATGAGAGGGGAAGGTTTAATACACATTACAGTCAGTGCTAGCTATAGTGAAAATATGTATATAAAAAGCCTCAAATTGAACAATTTTTTTATTAAGGCTCTGTCATCTCAAGCAGTTAGTTTACCTTTGTACGTAGGTGTTAGGTGGGGAATTCAATCTCTTAAAAAGTTATAGGTTCCAACTTTCACCCAGAATTATCCAATGTCAAATATTTAATGGAAATAAGGCCTAAAGTAGCGTGGCCATCGCTTTCCTACACAGTTCTGCTTGGTTCTCATTTCCTTTCACTTCTCTGGCTAGGATTTCTCCCATTTAAGGGGCTTTATCCAGTAGATAATCAACAAGTATAATCAGCAAGGAGAAGAAAAAAGTGTGAGTGATGACGGTGATTTTCTGCTTGGTTTTAGAGTAGTACTCTTTCTGTAGTTTAGCAACAGCAGCAGAGGAAGTGAAAGAAAACGTTCAGTTCCCACTTCTAAACACTGATTTAGTGATGTGTGATAAACAATACAAAAAATGCTCACTGATAAATGCAAACACCATCATGGAGAAGCACTGTAGTGATGATGTGCTGCAGGGCCCGTGTCAGAAAGAGTCAGGGGTTCTTAAAGAAACACAAGCTAATTTTAAGGTGTCAGATATGGCTAAAAAGCATAGTTTAAGTTATTTTTAATATATAAAACATATTCATAAGAACTGTAACAGTTAACAGTTACTTGATTGTGCTATGAAATGGCACTATGAGGAAAACACATAACACACTCTCTTTAAAATTATTCTGGTATGATCCTTTCTAAAACTCTTTGGAAAAGATCATACATCTACCAATTAGGATTCAACTCTTACTTCCCTCCAGTCTCACCTTAAATGTTTGTTGCAAAAAATTTTCATTTTTGTTTCATCCATCTAAAAAAAAGTTTGAGTAAACTCTAAAGCTCAGTTCAAAAAGGGACAAGAAAGTCATCTCCTCTAGACCCCCCTTCCCCAAAAAAACAAATCCACATGTGATGGCAACACACCCAGTAATATTTCAGTGGCAACTTCAAATTATTTTGTAATTTTAAAATATTTACAGTATTTACAATATATTTATATATTACAGTATATTTACAGTAAAACGGAAGATGACAAATCAGAGAACCTGGCACAAACATGGAGACACTGGAAGAAGCATCAAACAGCATAAAAACATCACAACCAGACCTGAATAACATCAATAACCTTCCATGTCTTCTGCTATGTATATTTTCTTTCTGGATAATATCACAAGGTCAAACATAAAAGAGGAGCAGAACTTTCAAAGACTCAGCAAAACAAAGCAACGCATACTGGCTCACTACCGGGCCATGGTTCTGATCAGGTAACAACTTGTTTAAAGGTCCAGTGTTTTGTTTTTAAATTCCTTCCTGGACTGGAAATTATTAAGAGGTTTTAAAATGAAACATAATGAGGGGATAACGTAGTGAGTGTCTGATTCTTCCTTTCTTGACATTTAGAGTTTGATCCGCTCTTTCTGGTCATTTCACTCATTAAGTTTCCAAAACAAAC